ACATACAGATGGACAGAATCACTGATTTACTTACGTGATGCACACATGGTAGCTTCATTATTAGGCATAGCCTTGATCTCTCTCTCTCTCTATGTATACACACATGAGCACACGCTTATAGAGTTGTGGACTCCCATGATTGAATCAAGGTAGCTTTAATATCGTGGATAGCTTTGACCAGTGAACCTTAGCTCACTGATTTCTTCATCTCTAGTTCTGGGTTCAATCTCGGTGTGCATGGAAGGTGATTCAGTCACTTAATTAGTTACATTACCAAGTTCCTCTATGATAGGGGGAAACAAAAAAAAAATATTGTCATTTTTAGGCTTACATATGCAAGGATATGTTCACATAAAAAATAAATATCCTGCCACTAAATTCTCTGCTGTAAAATAAACAAATGCAGGTGATATTTCCAAGCTTTGGGGAAAGATATCTATCTTCTGTATTGTTCGAGTCAGTGAGACGTGGAGCAGAGAACATGTCGTTCGAACCCTGAGCTGCTTCCATCAACTAACATCAATTTCTCTTTGGGAAATACAGTTAGGTTTCATCTGTTGATTTGGTAGTTGTTCAATATGTTTACTCTTTCTGACTTAGCTCTGTTTCTCTTTTGTGCTAGGAATAAGGTGGCCGAATGACGATACTTGCTGGTCGGTTTAAATGTTTAACTCTCTCCAAATTAAGGATAAGAATGAGATTACAGGATGATTAGAATAAATTTAAATTTTTAATTTCAAGTTAATTTTACCTTCAATTCAAATTATGCATATTTATGGTCTCTTTCTTGATAATTGAAAAATAAATGTATTAGTATGTATCTTGAAAAATTAATAATAATAATAATAATAATAAAATTAGAGCAATCTCACAAAAAAGTCATTAAATAATGTTCTTTCAACATCTAAACAAGTATCTAATTGTTTAGTACAGAAGAAAATAGAAACAAATCAACAAAGTTCGAGCAATCTTACAAAAAGTTAAATGCTAGAGTTTACTTTTAATAAACCGTTTTGAACAATCCGATGACGAAAAACAGAAAACTTAATAATCAGAATAAAGAATCAAATTTCCTAGTTTAAAAGTCAAAGTTAACCCAAAGAGCAGATGATTTCTAAATCATTTCTACAAAATTAAAACTCAAAATTGTCTTTCATTGTTATGTATAACATATTGAAAATTTGATAAATATTCCAGGCTTTTGCTTCTTTCTAATGACTTGGTAATTATCTTTTTAAAAAACGAAAGCCAAAATGAATGAACATGATTTTTATATATACATAGATGGTGACAAATTTTTAAAAATATAAATTATATATTATAGTATTTTTTTTTTAGAGTAGATATTTGTAGTAGTTATAATGAAATTATGAATGTTGATATAGTTATTATAAAGGATTTTAGTAAAAAATAATTTTATATTTA